GGGAGCCGGAGCGGGGTGGGCAGCCCCGCCCTGCCCTCCTGGTGGGGGCACCCCATTTCGCAGGGAGAAAGTCGATCTGAAGGGTAGGGGGTGAGGGTGGGGTCCCCTAGATGAATCTGCCCTGGCCGGTCCGTCAGGGAAAGGTCAAAGGGAAGTGGGTGCTCACGGGCACCTTTGGTTTTTTCTTACATTTGGAGGATCAGACCTCGTACCTCTCGCCCAAATTGAATTGCGCCCCGCGCCTTCATCCCCCACTCCTTCCCGTGCAATGGCCTTGGAAGTGTCCCCCTGTCGCACGTCGTCTGGTGTTGAGTGGAAACGCAAATCAGGGTGCTGGGAGGGGCCCTCTTCGGGGTCCTATTTTCTTATCTGTTGGCTCACACCGCTCTAGACGCGACCGGGGAGCTGCTTTGGGGAGGCCGGAAAAGCAAAGGTTGTATTGGAGTGTTTATTTATTTATTTTAATTTAATTTAATTTTATTTTTATCTAAAAAGAAAGCTGGGTTGTTTTCTTCGTGTGCGCGTAAATTTCCTCCCGGAGCCGCGCTGAAAGCTGGCAGTTGGCTCTTACACTTGCCCGGCAGCCGAATTAGAGCAACCGCCTGTTTCTGTCGCCCACGCAGGGGAGTCATATAGCCCAGAAAAAACTTCCCGGGACTTTTAGCCTGTCCCAAGGAAAAAAAAATTGGAAACATACCCACACTCAAACAGCTGGAAGAGCTAAAATCAGAAACCACTAACCGCCACGGGAGCGAAGTGCACGAAAGGGTTTACTTAGGTTTATTTCGAGGCGCTTCATGTAATAGCCCCTTGGTACATGGTATATTTGCTGCTCGGCTCCTATTGGGGGAGGGGGGGGGGCGCTGCGAGCGTCGCCGTGCTGTGAATGGGCAGTGGCATTTGTCAGAGACGTGACTCACATGACCAGAGCGTTAATTTTATTTTTAAATCGTGTTTATCCGGGAAACCGAGTCTGCATCCTCACCGAAATGATACGAGGGCCGATATGAAATGCTTTTGAGCTTAAGTAGTCGCAAAAAAATAGGACTGTATTATTCACCGATTAAGATGTCACGGCTAATCACTTTGTGAGCCATCTAGTTAGGATGTACTTTTTAAATTTCCTTTTCGGTGTTAAAAGAGGAGATGGGTTTATATGTTATACTAGGAGAGAAGATAGCCGTAAAAAGGCGTAAGGCTTGTTACAAGTTGGATTATCTACTTTTAAAAAAAGCACCATTTGAAAACGATTTGGTTCATTCAGGTTATCAATTTGTTTTGCATAGGAGACACCAAGAGTATAAGGCTTGCCGAGACCGGTTTGGCTCAGTGGATAGAGCATCGGCTTGCGGACTGAAGGGTCCCAGGTTCGATTCCGGTCAAGGGCATATACCTTGGTTGCGGGCACATCCCCAGTGGGGAGTG